CTCGGCTATTGATGTATCAACTAGGCCCCCCACTCGCCAAGCCAGCGAATTCGTGGGGACCGTTCAATTAATCCCCCTAAAAGACTACATTATCAACAATGGGCTGCTGGCCCTAGAGTGCTTGAATGCAAGAGTGAGCTACTACTCTCGATCATGGTTCGACACAATCCTTGTGCGTCAAGAAGGTGCCCTCCTTCGGCTGCATTGACTTGAGCATTCCTTCAGTGTCAGTAGCAACAAAAATCCGAGTGCTGGTTGATAAAAATTCTGAAGAATCCTGGTTTATCCTGGTTTGGACCGTTTGTTTTGCGGTTGACTTTTGCCTCAACCCGTCAACCCACAGCTAGCCCGAAAAAGGACTCCAACATGACAAAACTGTAGCGCTGAGTGTGCAATGTGCACTCAGCACAGTGTCGACGTCTTTGGGGTTTTGGCGTTTAAGGTTTAGAGGGCGTAAGAGGCCACTATATTTTGCAAAACTTGTTGTGACGGGCTTGGCGAAAACCCCGAAGGCCCCGACAACTACACCTTGCCCTCCTAACAATGAAGGCCATGACTGGACCACAAGAACTTCGCGATAAACACTTCGAGGAGCTTGCGCCTACCACCAGGGAGTTTCCAAGAATGTTCCGACAATTCGCCAGCTTACCAAAGCCAAAGCCATCAACAGCGAGTTGCTGCAATACATACTGCAAAAGACTGGATGATATGCTATGATATATTGTACTATATACAAAAAGTTACTATATACTATAATTTACGATGGGCTTTATACAAATACATCGACATTCTATCTACACATGCTTGTACATGTACATGTACATGTATGCGTACATGATGTCTGTGTGTGCGTGTGTGTGGGGGGGGGGGTCCGTGCAGTGCTTTGAAAGGTGAATGTGGGAGTTTCCGAATCTTAGGGGTACCTTACTTTGGGGTCCTTATAATAAGGCTCCTGTTATTTAGGGTGCTATGTGAGGGTCCCCTATTTTCGGAAACTTCCATGTGGCGGCCCGGGCACACAACACCCCGCTGGCGACCAAGGCACGGCTCGCCTGGTCGATGAGAGCAGCCTGATGTAACAAAGGGCCTTAATAATTAGAATAGGGTTCGTTTAGAGGGTTCTTTAAAACGGTCAATAAGAAACCCGTAGTAGGGTTCTATAGTATAGGGGCCTTATTAATTAGAATAGGGTTTTGGAGCCCATTCTTCCATATTTGTAATAAGGACCGCCCAAAATAGTATTGGTAAAAAGCTAGGCCCTATATTAACAGCTCGCGACTGCTCTTGAAGCTACTGTTTCCGCGCTCACACTCGGACATTGAAGGCGAGGCAAATGACGACAAGTCCATTGACAAATTCAAGCGGGACCGCGTTGCGTCTCTTGGGAGAAAGAGCCACAACACCTACCTCATACAGCACACCCTGATAACAGGGCTCGACGTTCTCTCTCCCGCTCAATATCCTTCCTTGTTCCAGTACAGGAGTCCGAGCACGAAAGGTACCCCAAGAAAACAGTTCCAGGACACCAATAGGGCTACTAGACACCATCGCTACAATGAGGCAGGGGACTACCTCAGGTAACAGGCGATCAGTCGAGAGATGCACGAACTTCCACGAACGATCCGGCAGAAAGACTACATTGAGCCGCTCCTCCCTGCTTTTGCCTGGTACAAACCGCAGGACCAAGAACCATACATCATACACCCGATCCATCGAGACCAAACCCAACACCTCAGTACGGAGTGCGTGTCAAGGTCGCGTCATACAAGTGCCAACTGCGCAAAATACGACAAATAGATCGCATCTATGTAGGAAAAGTCGTAAGCCTGCTTGCACTCAAATGCCCTGCATGTGATTGGCCTACCTCTCGTAAAGCTGACTGCGTTGACCGTTGAATTATGGACTTGCTGGCACCTCGACTTTGCGCATCTTCGAGCGCGAGATCTGGGCAAGAAGGCTGGAGTAGCGACCCCGCTCCATAGCGGATACAAGCGCCTGCCGATCGTCCGAGGCCATGCTAGACTTGGGGGATTCCGAAAATTAGGGGTACCTTCTTTTGGGGTCCTACTATTTAGGGTACTATATTCTGGTCCCCTATTTTCGGAAACTCCCACTTGTCGTTTCCGGCATCGTCCGGGCGATTCTGCCACCGATCGGTGATTGAGTGTCCAGTCTGGCCGGTTCCCTGTAAGGGGAAAGTGAGGGTTCAGGGCTTCGATGTTTCGGCTCCGACACATCGAAGGCTCCGGGTAACGCTTGAAGTTTACTATACGGCTCTTCGTGTTTGCTACGATAATTCTAGCTCTTTCGTATCTCGATTAACGTGCCGCCCACTGGACCTGCTCCTGCGCCAGTTTCGAAAGCTCTTTCTTCTTGGCGCGGCGAACTTTGACGGTCATGACCTTACAAACAATTTCTCAGGTCAGATGCACGAAGCTAAAATCGACAATTGGAACCTCTAGCGGCACAGTAACACGCCACTGCATCGACAGCGTCCCACACACGAGACTTAGGCTGACTGCGAGAAGTGAAAACGACATCGATGCGAGCCTCAACCAGACGACAGCAATCGACTTGTCACGAGTATCTAAAGAAGTCGTCCCACACACTTGAGGCCCCTGCCGCCTGAGCACCATCGGAGACAGACATGTCCAGGACTATGCCTAAGGCAAGCGTGATAGCGAAACACAAAACGAGACATCAGACGTAATTCCGTCAGGCTCTGCAGACAATCATTTACCCACAGACATAACACATCACCACTGCCCCAAGGATGTTGTAAACGTTGGAATCATAGAGCCTTAGCCCCCGAAGCCCAATTTACCGAATGTATGTCCGCAGGCAGCTCCATCACTGTCTTTCTCGTGTCGTGCCGCAAATGTGCGGCATCGGTCGCTCGAAACCGCAAGTCAAAAGTCAACGACCCTAGATATACCTGCGTGTGCCACTGGCCTACTGTTGCAAGAACATGCTGAGCAAGCAACGTGTTCGAACATTGCGACAGCACACTGGGTAGATTGGACATGTAAAGCATGATGATGATCTCATTCTGCCAAAGCAGCATCTTGGCGGAATTTGATCCGTTTGGGAGAAACATAGAGAAACCGGAAACTCGAACCCATGACGCGGAACTCGAAACCCATTGGGCAGAAGCAGGCGGGGAGTGTGACACTGACGGTCCCGATGGCAAAGCAACGGGGAGAAGGACAGTTCTGCCCGGGCCGTGATCCATGGATCCGGGTTTCTCGGGCCGCGGGGGGCTTCAAGTTGAAAGTCAGCAAGATACACTTTGCCAAGCAAAGCTTCCTACATCTTCCTACACTCTAGAGTGCATACGTAGCTTTAAGCACTTCTACCAAGACTTTCGGGGAAGCCTTCCCCCACAGCGCCCATGCCACTGCCCAGCTCCAGATTCTCTGCGCCTGCGACCTGGGCTGCGTGCTGCCTTACTTTGAATAATATGGGGACGGTAATAATTAGAAGAGGGTTTTGGAGCCCATTATGCTATAGTTATAATAAGGAACCCCCATCTTAGTATTGGTAGTTATTTAGGCTCCTATAGTACTTTGAATATGCTATGAGCTTCTCGTGAAGAAGCGAAGTCAAGTCTCAGACTACTGCTCTTGGCACTTGAAGTCCGTTCCGAAAGCTCCGAAAAAAGGTGCGGTTGAGATGGCCATCGACTTGTGCAGATCAGTTGCCACCGTCCGCTGCCGGTGTGGGGCCGAAACAAAGTTCACCCGTGCGCCATCCGATCGCCCAGCCTCGCTCAGAGGGCCGAGCCAATGCCAAACCCTGCAGAGGTTTTTTTTTAAAAATAGGTTTTTTAAAAAAAATCTATGCCCCATGCACTTCGAGCCAGCGAACCCCATCGTACCAACAAGCAGGCGGCCTAATTATCAGGGATGCTATAAGTCTATAAGGGTTTCTGTAAGGGATACGACAACAGGTCACTACAGGGGGAACTGTACCACAAGGGTTGACTTCAGACAGCACCGAAACGTGGCCTCCACCTGCACGCCGAAGGGGACCTCAGGCAAACACCCAGATTTGTAGGAAGTTTTAGGGAAATTTCATTTCTTGTAGCTTGGCAACCCCTCTACTTGTTCTCTTCCTAACCCTCTCCAAAAGAACACACAGACAGACACACAGACGGACAGTTGCTGTTGTTAACTTTTGCCAAGCCAGATGCGCCGTGCGCAAGGCATAGCGTCTGCTGGAACCTTCATGGACTGTCTCTCACGCCATCACTCAGTCGTAGGCTGCCAAAGAAACTGTTGCCCAAGAAATCATCTTCCAGAAGTTTTGATAGCAACCGCGAGGGTGAACCATGTACAGCTTCAGCATTGAGGATTTGAGGATGTCACAGGCACTCGCCCCACACTCACACACACACACCATTCCCATGCTAGCACTAGACCTCGGACTACTTGGGTGGCTCGTGCCGGCTTCTGCACTGTCATCCTGCCGGGCCCTACGAAAATGGCCCAAACAATCACCAGCATTATTTTAGGGCTCCGTATTATAAAATTCTGCAAGAAAATTATCAATGCCCCTATACTACTGCTCCCATCACTACACGCATGCCTGGTTTGCCTTTGCGGGTCCAAGGCCGTTAGTTAGGGTTTGCCGTGTAGCACTGTTACCGAATTTGTGGCTCCGCTGAAACACGACCAGGGGGCAGCTGGGACGCCTTTGACCTCAGCTCGGAGAAGCTAGCAACGTAGCAGCAATCACACTAACAGTGGCGTATTTTCACACTAACAACGACGACAACAACAAGCAGAGTCCGAATAGCAAACATGAAAATTATCATAATATTAAGACATACAGTGCTCAGTAGATCTGGTCAGGCCCCAGCAGCGGACATGTTGGTCAAGGGTCAACATCTTCAACATGACGCAATTACGTGCACTGCCGGCCACGTCCAAGGAAGGCTTCCGGCCAAGTACATGAAAGGCAACTCTTTCGGATATGGGAGTTTCCGAAAATAGGGGATCCTAATATGGTACCCGAATTCGTGGGCTCCTTATTAGAAGGACCCCCAAATAAGGTACCTCCTTATTTTCGGAAACTCCCATATCATGCTTGGAGCTGTAGCATGTGTGGGCTTTGGGGAATTGCCCCCACGCCACACGTGAGCCAACCACAACAAAACCCCCCCCAAAAAAAAGCAGTATGAAATCAAGAAGAAGCCTTGGATTCCTCGAGAATACATGCCGCCACGGCGGCCTAGTCTCTACTTTGAAGAGGTGAAAAACTGCTTCAGAAAGTCGGGCGGCACACAGCGATCCGCTGATAGCGCCCGCGGAGCGGAACTGGATGGAAGAGGTGATACGGGATGGCAGCGGTGTGGGAAAGCCTGCAGCTTCGCAGGCGCTCCAGAGGTAGAAGGCAAGCCTAGGAGTCATCACGGAAAACATAGGAACATCAGCATCATCATCATCATCATCACCATCATCATCATTAGCATCGTATTACTCTCTCTCTCTCTCTCTCTCTCGCTCTCTCTCTGCCGTGCCATCATCAAGTGTCTCGCAATGCAGGGGCACGAAAAAGCAATACGATAATACTAACTACTAATATTACGAATATTTACGAGGTCACACGAATATTACGAATAATAGAATCAGGAATAGTACCAAAAAGTGATAGCAATAAGACGAACAATAGTAACAATAAGAATAATAGAAATAAGAACAATAGTAATAATAATAAGAGTAGTAATACTTGTAACCATCTACTAACCACAATAATCACAATTACAATAATAACAGTAATAATAAAGCTACAGAAATGACCCTAAACTATCTGGCAGGTGCTGCAGCCAGATCAGCTGATGTTCTGTCACGAGCCTAGATGAGAAGACTTCGACTGACCCTAAACCCTTTTCTTAAGCACGGACTTGGAGCGTATGCCGGCAGCGAAGCTCTCTGGCAGAGCCTTCCTCAGTCACCTTAGGAGACCTCGGGGATGCACATATGACCCTAAACCCTACACCCTAAACCGACCTCGAAGACCTGTCCTCGAACCCCAGGACCCTTCTCATGTAGGGGTTCCGAAAGCCCTGGCCTCCAGACCCAGACCGCGCTTCCGGCTCACCTTCGGTGAGCTCCACGGTCACCTGCGCAGTATTCCAATTTCCGGGCTGCACTTCCGCTCTCAAACGGGCACCTCTTTTTTCTTCCGTCTGCACATGTCTCGCGCTCCGTGCCTCCATGAATGCCCAGCTGCACTCCGGAGGTTCACCAAGCCTGACGGACGTTGACCTTAAAACCCTGCGTGCTGTGCCAATCACACGGGCGGCAGGCAAAGGATCGATATTTACAGTCACACTACGAAGTCACCATCTGGAGCAGATGAAACATCCATCAACCAGAGCGACATGACACCGGTATGGCTTTGGGATGCGTTGTAGACCACTCGCGACCTGATGGGATGATTTCGCTGGAAGCGAGGAGCATCACTGCCCCAAGTACAAGGACGGAGTCCGACCAAGTATCCGTTTTCGTTTCCAGGCTTATTCCCAGTCCCATACATTACTCCACCTTGGTTGTCGGGGCTGGCGAAGACGGAGCAAAGGGTTTTGTTCGTGACGTCGTCGATGAGTTCGAGGGACAATCCGGCGAGATGAAGGTGGGGAGCTGCAAAGACGAGGTCCACCAGTTCGTCTGCTTTGTGCTTGTGGTCGGGATTCTTCACATGACCCTGGTAGAAGGCCACGGGCTGCACCGCTTCAACTACATGCAAGCACTTCTCTGGAGGGGTACCCGTCGCACAGGCGGGAATGTCGTACTCGACGTTTTCATGTCCCTGGTGATCACTGGTGACATCGCAGCAAGCAGCGTACTCCATCTGACGCATGTCGGGGCGGGCATCCTCGAAGTAGAAGGTGTACCTCACACGAAAGAAGCATGCCCTCAAAAATGCCATTCTCGGCAGTCGGGGCACAGCAAAGACATGACCTGCTAAATTGATTGCTTCAAGGCACTTCATGAAGACCTCGTCCTGCGGTTCCTCCGAACACCGGGGATCACTGCACTCTTTGTCCGTGTCGATCAGGAACACGCCGTGATCGCAGCAGCGCCATCCGCCGACGTAGGTGGCGAGGTGGCAGGAAGGATTTCCGGTCTTTTCGAACTCCGGGCTGCACCTGAAACCAGCTACCGAAAAATCGACCACTTTGCGAAGCAAAGCACGGTCACAAGGATACAACAACCTAGGAAAGACAACAAGTGCTGCTAAATCACTGGATAGGTGGGAAAGGATCTTTCCCGTCAATCTTCCCTTGCTTGACATCAATCTTCCGCTGCGGCGTACACGGGCATTCCAGCAGCTTCGACGGCGGCAGAGATGTGTTTTGCGAAGGCCTGTTGGTGTTGATTACGTGGAAGGTTGGTGCCCAAAGGTGGGGCTTTTGGATCAATCTGCGGAAAGGTGCTTGATATCTTTGTGGGTTGTGCCGGTACTCAGCGCCAGCCGCACTGCCAAAGTACACCAGCTCGGGGGTGTCTGTCAAGCGCGTCAGAAAAGACTGGACATGCGACTGCGTCATGCCATGGCATCCATGAAGCATCCGAGCAAACATCTCGTCCTTGGCAGCCTGCTCCTGAATCTTCATCATCGTGCTGTTATCGCCCATCGCCAGAATGTAGTGATGCAAATAATGGTCGCTGAGCTTGACCTGAGACTCTGTGCCTGCTGCATCCTTTCGGACCACGTCTACATCGAAACCGGAAATGGCCATTGCCTTTCCCTGTTCGAAATATCGCTCCACGATATTTTGCGGCAGAGGCATCGGGCCCTGCTGCTTGTTGTATACTTCACCATAGCGCAGCTTGATTGGCTCAGAATACACCGTGAAGCTCTCCGTCACAGGCTCTGCTGTAGCAAGGCACAGAGCTGTCAACCACACCAACATGTCGGATTTGCGGGACATGCTCGTAGCTAACGTTGGAAAATCAGCTGCGGGTCCTCCTGCTGCGGGCCATCAGCTTTCGCGCCACAAACTGAGACCAGACACTAAGCAGGAAGCCCTTCATTCCAACAAAGCTATCGCTTGGCGCACTACCGACACACACACACACACAATTGCCACAGTCATTGCCGGTTGAGGGACCATCGCGATTATGAACAATTGGCAGCAGCCGAGTCGCGGTCAGCAATAGCAGCGGCAGCAGCAACAGAATAATGAAGGGGTGCTCGTAGCACAGCAGGAGGACAGTCATGCAGCAGCAGCAACAGCATAAGCAGTGGCTCACTCGCAATAGCCTCATATATAGCCTCTATAGGCTATAGTGCTACATTGCTTCGTGCCTCCCGTTGGGTCTCTGTGTTTCGTGTCATGCAATACCGGAAATATTCCATCAATCCGTGCACTTCAGCCCTTCTGCCTTCGTCTCACAGAAAAATTACTTCCGAAACCCCGAGACCGTGATTTTTTTTAACCGTGACTTTCATTCGACCCTTCGCAGATGCCTCCACATCTTCGACGTCTGGAGTCACAGAGATGGCGAGCTGTGCCCTTGCTGCTCCCTGGAGGTGAGGGGGCTTGTGGCAAAAGCAGCAACCTTTGGGGCATACCCAGGGACAGATCTAGAAAAGCCGCTACACATACAACAAAAAGTTGCGAAACATACAGCTGGACGCCAACAACGCTGTCGAGCTTCCAAACAAGTGCTACGCGACAAAGGGTTCTCTTTTGGAGTCCTAATCCACCTTGGGAAGATTTCTATTCTATATTCCTGAGCTGCAAGCCTTCAAGATCTTTTCCGATAAGGGACCCAAGTGTGGAACCCACATGAATGCATTACCTAATCCCTAAACCCCTGCACCCCAAACCAAACCCTTTTTGAGCCGGGGACTGCGATGCACTGAGCCTTGGACCCCCTCAGCCAATCTCAAGATGCCAGCTCATCATCATGGGTGAGCATGCCTTTTTGCACAGACTTGTGGATCTACCCTATAGCCTATAACCGTAAACCCCGAATCCTAAGCCCGACACCCTAGACCCTGAATCCGTACACGTACATGTACATTCCAACAGCGCCCTTCGAATGTCATCCAAGGAGCTACCCTGCGCGCTGCAGGGAGTGAGGAAGTCCTTGGAGCTTTTTCGATTGAGGGTTTAGGGTTCCGAACCACATGCCTCGCCTGGATTTAAGGTTTAGGGTTTACGGGTGGTGGTAGGCAGATGACCAGGCAATCGGCAGGTGGTGATACTAGTAGTGGCTGATTGTGACTGGTCGCGACTGGCAGTGTCAGCGGTAGTGGCGGTGGAATGGTGCTCATCATGCCAAAAACCCAACCAACCGCACGAATCGTACATGTATGGGACAACCATTCGCCGTTCTACAAAGCAAGCCCTGCCTCTTCAGTGCCCCGATGGCCGGCAGGCGGACACTCTCGGCAGGACTGGGAGGAACCTCTGGCGGAGACTCGCCTATATTCCCCAGTCGCCTCTAGATTCTGGCGGAGACAATACGGCTTTGAAAGAGCTGGCTGTCGTTTCTCACCCGGAGCGAGTCCCGTCCGCCGTGCTGATGGATTCGTTCAAATTCTGTGCCTGTCTAAGTCAGGTACATTGCGGCCCGACATGAGGTAGCTGCAAAAGCCTAGTGCTCGACTAGTGTTGTTGTGCCACTGCTGCTACTACTACTTCTACTACTACTTCTACTTCTTCTTCTACTACTGCTACTGCTACAACTACTACACTGCTGCATGTGGCGAAGCAGCAGCCAGCATCCTTCAAAAGCCAGGCACTTCCGGACCCGGGACCCTGCGCTGAAGTGAGCTGCACGACCGGAGCTGCACCAAACAATAACGAAGCTTCCAGGCCCCTTACGGAGCAGAATTCGCAAACATCGGTTGACACCGTTTGCCTCGAAGGCCTCAATCAGAAAACCCACTCTTGCAGGCAGTCGTATCAGAAGCCAAGAGGCCGCAATCAGTGGGGTCCTAAGCATTGAGATCGGAACCAGACGACTTAAGTGTGAAGAGCCGGCTTACTTTGCAGGTACAGGCTGGCTTGAGGCCGGCTCCAGTCGTTCATGCTGCACATGCTGTGTGCGGGTGGGGGTCCCAGCCGGAAATGCAAGCGACTCAGGGCTCAGGGCAGTTGTACCCAATGAGTCCAAGGTAACCGTACTCCTGTTGGTGCACGTGTTGCTTCTGCTATAAAGTGTTGCTTAGCATGCGTGGCTCCTCAACTGCAACCCGGGAGCATGCCATTCACGACGCGGCTGAAACCACGAACGAACATGTTCGGACGCTGAAGGTGAGACAGATGCACCGCCCATCTGGAGGGTCGCGTCTCAAAATCGAGAGCTCTTCCCTGTAGTTTCGCAGCCGCTAAGCCGCTGGCATGCACTTTGCAGCTCTGAGCCACTACAGACTCATGAATTGTAGCCCTAGAGTCTCCTCAGTCTACATTAGATTCGATTTCCCCAAGTTAAACCCGAAGCCCCTAACCCCGAGCCTAGCCCTGAATCCGGTGCAGGCAAGCGTCACCACATCCCCAGCGCCGGAGCTCTCCGGTGTCCCTGGCAGGTCCAGGCCTTCAAAAGCCAGGCAAGAAAAAAGGTTTGGACTCGCAACTCGGGACTCAAGGCGAGAAGTTTGGGGTGTTGGGGGGCTTCGGTTTGCAGAGCACTCAACTATTCGCATGTGTGCATCATGTGCGGCGTTATCGAGCTGATCCTGTTCTCGTTTCGCTTGCTTTTCTGCACCAGTCATGGGCCAACTCCTACAGGAGGAGGAATCTTGAAATTGGCAGAATGCCGGGAGAACCTGCCTCATTGGCCTTTATCTGGGCTGCTGTTGAGGGACCCCGCTCAAGTTTGCAGGCGAGTAAGCCACGCCACAGTGTCACAAGACATCCCCCAAACTCTCTAACGATCTCTTGATCTCTTGAGCGAAGATCTCACAAGGACCCAGTCATGTCTCCCGTGCTGCAGGCTTTCCCCACTGCCAGATCCAAACCCGGCGACGCAGTGAAAAGCTTCCTGGAATCCTTTGCGTTCGTGGGAAAGCCTGAACACGACAGTCGGCACGCAGGTCTCATGTCCAGTGGCTAGAAACGGCCATCCTCCAAGCGCTGCGGCACCAACATGCCCAGGGCGACTTTGGGATACCTAGGTCCTACATGTGTATGCGGATCACTGCTTTTTCAAAGGCTAATTATAGATGTCAGTGGAGGATGGAAGCGTCTAGCAGCAGCACGCCAGGATCCCAAATTGACCTGCACCAGAGGTACTCGCAATGATGGCCGCATTCCCCGCACAAACGAAAGTTCGGCTGAGGATCGAAACCTGTCTGGTGGGTTTTTGGGTTCCTGTCACTTCGGTCGGATCCGGAACAGTGCGAAGAAGGCCCAGCCCTAGCTGACCCAACGTCCACAGATGCAGTGCGAACCTTCGCTGCTCTATCCGCGACCGTGCCATCAACCATCAAGGTGGCCCACGGCATCAGTTGCATGAACCCCTGCCGAGCCCTGCTTCATAACTGGACTCCCGTTGGCACAAAAATTCTGCCAAAGGTGGCGGATAACACTCACCCGCCACCAAGGTAACTAGACAGTGTTCTACAGATCAATCGAAACACAGCGCTCACTCCAGCCAGCATCTTCCTGAACAGCTGCGGGACCACTTCAAACATTTAAAGCTTCTCATGGCTATGCACAGCATCCGATCACCTCCCCACTCGCCCGAACCGGACATCGGGCTGAGCAGGAAGGCGATTGACTGGAAGGTGGGCTGTGAGCATCTGAGGCAACAAGAAACGGAAAGGATCGGTTGCTGTCGAAGAGCAAGCCGAAAATTCATGCAGCTGCCAAGCGATTTCAGTCCTCAACCCACGAAGATGCTCACAGCATCTTCTGCCTCGGGAAGAAGCACGCACACCTCCTCCGAGAGGATCTTGCTCAAGCCGGGGACATCAAAAGCCAAGTCGGGAGCGATGTCCTTGACGAAGAGGCCAGCACCCTGTGCCAGCACATCCTTCTTCCAGCTCTCCACAACAGCACGCAGAGCCTTGAGGTCCAACTCGCGCACAGAGGCCGCAGCCTCCTGCACGGCAAAGCAAAGGATCTCAGCCAGCTCCGCGGCCTGATCCTTCTCTGGTGGCACGCCCAGGGCCTTCATCCGGTTCACGGCCTCCTCCAAGCATCCGCTGTGCCGCAGCTCCACCAATGCCTTCTTGGTGCCCTCGCGGAACTTCTCCTGTTCATAGGCCGGGAATGCCGGGACCGGAACAGGCATGGAGGCCACTTTGCGAATCAGCCGCTCCTGCACTTTGCGGCCAGCGGCGCTGTCAGCCACCTGGGCCAGTGTCATGGCCCGCTCGATCTTCTTCGGGCGTTTGTCCACCCAGCGAGCACTCCGAAGGTCCAAGAGATCCTTCAAGAGGAAGCGCTCCCGAGCAGGGCATTTCTTGGCTTTGACGATGGTGGAGATCTGATCAAAGACGGCGTTCAAGGCCTTGTACTGCGGCCAGTCCTTGTTGTCGGCCGTTGGGCCCAGGACCGTCAGCATCGCGGCGATGGACTCCAGAGCCTCCGGAGTAGGATTTGACAGGAGCTCCTCCAGGATAGCGATGCCGACCCGGCAGGCGAGCATGCCGCGTGAGAGGAGGCCGCCGACGAGGCGGATGTTGCCCAGCATGCTTGTCTTGTAGCAGACCTCCGCCGCCGTGCGCTCCTCTGCTGCGAGGAGCTCGAGGCCTTCTGGTGGCGACAGCAGGCGCTCAAAAGACAACTGGCACTCATCCAGCAGCAGTCTCTTGAAAGTCATCTTGCGCCCATCTGCCTTGCCAGAGCAATCCTCGAAGGGGTGTGCAGTAAAGTGCTCGTGCAGGAGCACGCAAAGGTCGGCATACATGTCGATGAAATGGTGCTGCGTCGTTGCCTTCTCGAAGACCTCGTGGATCAACACCTCGACGTGCGTGGATGTACGAAGGCCGCACTGCAGAAGTTGCTGGGATAGGCTCGCAAACTTCTCGAGGGTCAGCTTGTTCAAGATAGACTTGACGGTTCGGGCCACTTGCTCACAGCGGTCGACCTGCGATGCCTCCGACTTTAGCTTGCGCTGCTGGGCGGCCCAGGAATTCTCAGAGACTTCCAGCTTTCCAGCCTTGCTCTTGGAGACCTGCGCCTGCGCCTTGGCCTTGCTCTTAGGAGTCTTGGTCACAGGCACCGGCTCCACCATAGGAGTTCTCTCTTCGACGATCTGGGTGCGGTAGAGGATCAGCGGCTTATCCTCCAACTTCGAGACGGCCTCGCGCCACATCAGCATCTGCTTCAGGCTGAAGACGGTCTCCGGATCCGAGTCTTCGCTGATCATAGGGCCAAGCTCTTCGGCTTCCGGCTCTGAAGAAGTAGAGCTGAGTGAGTGCTCCGCCTCTGAGGCGGCGTCCTCTTGACAAGAGGATGGCGTCAGGGAGTTACAGGTTTACTGTCACGGGTTCTGTGACGGTTCTTATAAAAGTACGGAGTTTAAGGTTTTTTGTTCGGGGTTGAGGGGTGGAAGTCTTCTCCTCCAGCAAGCCCGGAGCTTCGTCGGCAGCGCACGGTGAGGGCTCCTCTGCCGGCTCGGCATCCTCAGAGGTATCGCTGGAGGTCTCCAGGGCATCCGGCACCTTCTTCTGTGGCGAAGTGACTTTGCTGGGGATGTCTGCATCAGAGTCTGAATCGGAGATGTCGGAGAAGTCATCGAGGTTGATTGCGGCTGCACGAGGGTTGCGTGGGCCACTGTTGTAAGTGCTCTTGGAGTAGGTGTTGGCATACTGGCCATTCCCGTAGTAGCCCTGGTAGGCCCCGTTCTGGTAGCAGTCGTAGCCATATCCAGCATTCGTGTAGTAGCCACCCATTGAGCCTTGCTGCATCTGCTCCTGGCCACGGTACTGGCAGTACGTGCCTGAGGACGAATAGTATGGACTCTGCATGGATTGCGCATCAGCAGCTCCACGTGGCTGGAACTCCTGCGCGAAGGAAGAGAGTGTAGATGGATTCGCAAACATGTCCGGTAGTTTCTTGGAGAGTCGAGTTTCTTGGAGAGTCGAAGATCAGGCGCAGGAGACTGCTTGCACAGTTCGAGCGCCTTGCTGCAGATATGTAACGGAATTTGGGGTGGCAATGGTATGTCCAAGCCAAATAGCTTGAGCCGAAGAAGTTTAGGGCGTCGACTCTCGGCAGAAGACGTAGAACTTCTCTCAGACCTGTGATGACCTGTGTACAACACTTAGACACGAACCGGGACCCAAGACATCATCCTCACATTATGACATTCACATCCGACGAAGCATATCCGCAGTAACTGGGAATCCTGCGACTTGAAGAGGTGCACTGTACACTGCTCCCTCTTGCTTAACCACCAGACCCTGGACTTCAGATCACGGACACGCCTGCCAGCGCATCCGCCATAGCTTCCCCAGGCTCTGCTGTGAGCCGAAAGGTGGGCCGAAATGCACACACCGACGAAGCACATGCTACCTGCATCCACATTGCATGTGGGTAGATTCTGGATCTACAGCGACACAGAACACGAGAGGATGATGACGGTTACAAAGTCAGCGGTCCCAAGAGGCTGATGCGAAAACTTAGGACTGCGAATGAATCCGGCGAACCGGATGGGCATGATAAAAACTTTTGCTCTGTGTTGATGCGACTGCACCAAAACCGTGCCACCATCCTGTAACATGCGCAAGGCTGCGCTTAGACTTACCGTAGACTAGACGTCATGACCTCTTGTTGTTGTTGCATAGCCCGCTCTGCCTGCGATCCGACTTCTGCGCATCCCTTCCCCAAGAGGCTATGCCAAAGCATGAAAGGCACAAAAGCTTCCCCAGCAGTGCAGAAAGACAAACCCTGGAGTATTTACGATGTGGCAAGACGTTGTACCAACTTGGTGGTAGTAGCTAGGACGGTGTCATCTTGGCTTCACATCGCTCATTGTGGTCCAGCGCTGTGCACAAAAACGTCCGTCTCGGATATCGCGGGCTTCGGCCACACAACTCCCACCAACAAGCACGAAATCCTTCCCTCGAAACGTAATGCTGTGGCTAGTTCAGAATCGGAGATCGAAAAAACTGAAGCTCCTAGGCCCCCAACACCAACAAATTCCTTCTGCATCGAGCCTGCAGATCTCTGAACTCCGAAGTCGAATTATAGTATACTAAAACATGTTATTCTAGAGCATTTCATACTCGAGTCTGTTGTGTTATCTTACTTTACCTTTTACTACTGTACCGCCATTGTACGGCTATGTAGTGTTATACTATTTATTACAACATAATATGTAACAGCTGTATAAAGCATAAAGTTATAGCATGGTGTGTCATATGCTATCGTCATATAACATGTTGTAGCATGTTATATCACATTCCCACATACCGTATCATGCTACATCATATCATACCCTGTGTTGTATGATACGGAACATGTTTTATTGTATTGTGAAGGACTCAGGGCTCGTGCGTGGAGCGGGCTGCAGAGGCGAACGTCCGATCTGGATGGACGCAGAAGATCATGGTAACCTGACGGTTTAGAGTTGAGGGTTTAGGGTGACAGACCCGGATTCTCATCCACCGGGTGTCGATCACACCCGTCCCCCAAAATTACATAACTATATGGGGCTCAACAGTAAGCAAAAATGCAAAAGTATCCCAAATCGATACCTAGTCATGGGTTTAGGGTGGCAATCCTATGACCTATGCCTAGTTCCGAGTGGGTATATGCTTTGGCAACTTTTGCTGCAGCTCCGCATGGCTGAGAGGCTAGGAACAAGCGTCTATCACATTGATGCCATGACTGGCGTGGGATAAGCTCTCCACTCCGCAATCTTCTCGGAGCTGCTCGTACAAGACCTGCCCATCAAGGCTAAAGCAAGTAATGGCTCACTTCAGGTATAAATGGGTAACTATACTTGTGACCCATATTAGGGAACTTATAACCCCCGTTGTATCTACCAACCTCATACCCACCAACAAGAGACGACCAGGACACCATTGTGAGACCGCCAGGAAACCACCAGGAAACCCGGAGACTGGGAGACGACCGAGAAATCACCGAGAGACCACAAGGACATCGCGGCTGAACTGCTTCCCTCTGTACCGGCGGGATTCAAGCATTTCGAGGCCAGAATGAAGTCAACCAATGCATCAGGGCCTGAGCGGGACTGTTTAAACCATGGGACATAGTCGCAATGTGTGCACGGACAGCGGGACTGCGTACCTGCGGGTTGAACCTGCAGAAAATGTATCACACTGTGTGGGGAATAGCCCGCAACGCTTGCCAAACCCAGTAATCACGAACTTACTCCGTTCCCTGCGAGCTTTCAGCGACGCAGCTAGGCAAAACCTTCGACAAAAACCTCAATTTCTGAGCCAGTCGTACACATTGAGACAACCTGGAAACAGTCCGGAAAGCCGATACTAGAGAAAATCACTGAGGGCCGATTTGATGCTGCAACGTGGCCATTGCTTAACTCTAACGGATGCTTGCCACACATGCGCTATCATGCGCTGTAGGGTCGCACCATGTTCAACGCACTCTGCCGACGGTCCGACCTCGGAAACGCGGATCTGAACTTCTCTTTGTTGGAGGGTTTAGAGTTGTTCTTGTCGGCTCCTTTCTCACTGCTGCTACGACTGAGAAACTCCTAGACGAGCTCGTCGGGACCTTGGCAGCCCACAGCGAAACTGAATCTCAGTATTTTCCCCTACCCCACTGCTACTGCCACAGCTACAGCTACAGCTCGTTACGAGCACTGCAACCAACAAGTAACTGCTCGAATTCAAGCACTAGTTCGAGTATTTCCATTGCAACTCACACTAGCAAAAACAACAAATACAACTACTGCAATTCCATGACGACGACTACAACAACTAATGCAAAGACGACTACCGCTGCTACTACTACTACTACTACTGCTGCTCCTGCTGCTGCTGCTACTACTACTACTACTACTACTACTGCTACTACTACTACTACAGCTACTACTACTGCTGCTACTACTACTGCTGCTACTACTACTACTGCTGCTACTACTACTACTACTACTACTACTACGTCTACTACGTCTACTACTTCTACTACTTCTACTACTTCTACTACTTCTACTACTTCTACTACTGTACTTCTACCACTTCTACTACTGCTACTACTGCTACTACTTCTACTACTTCTACTACTTCTACTTCTACATATCTACTTCTACTTATCTACTTCGACTTCTACTTCTGCTTCTCCTGCTACTCCTCCTCCTCCTGCTGCTGCTTCTGCTGCTGCTCATGCTGCTCATGCTAATCATGCCGCTGATGCTGCTCATGCTGTGCTGCTAGACGCTGCTGATGCTGCTGAGACGAATTTCACTGGAAGATGTTTGCTGTCCCTTCCTGCCAGTCCCGCCCGAAACCACAAAGGGACAGCAACAACAACAACAACAACACCAGCAACTAAGCAAATATACGCAATCTGGCGATGGCAACTTTTGTCGCGATGTCATTTAATTTACACTTGTAGCAGCCAAACTTATGCAATTGCATCCCGTGCCCAATGAATGATAAGGTCCACTCTTTTTGGTCCCGGCCTCGTCCGGTGATGGTCCGGCTCCAGAGTGTGAGCCGTGCAAAAGCTAAAACCCACCATCGTGGACTCTAACGACTGGGTCTGGGAACCGGGGGGAACTTTGCCCACCTCAGAGACCAAAAGGCCACGTTTGAAGTCTTCTGTCGCACACCATGAAGTAACAGAACCTCAGCGAAAGAAATCTTATGTTTGTTTCACGAGTCATGTGCGTAGCTCTTTCGGACGGCATCGTCTGTGAGCTCCCGGAAGTGCCTCCCGCTGCTCAGGCCGCATTCCGTTTCCAGTCCACCTGGCTCAATCTTTTTAGAGAGAGAATTCTAGGTCTATCATAGTGTTTTGGTAAGGAGTACAAGAGACAACTAATTATGAGTGCTTCTACTACCTGAGCTGTTCGTTTAGTTTCGTGTGTGAGGTGTGGCAGACATGATTCACCTCCTTATACTCTGATCTACTACTGGCAATTTCCTCATGTTTAGCTCAGACTTTTGCACTGCTGAACCGTATTTCCCATGGTGTTCTGGAACATCTCACTGTGCACTGCACTTATACTATATGCGAAACTGTAGTGTGCCAACAGGCATACGCATCTAAGAACCTACATATGTATGTCTATGTGTGTGTATATATATATATATATATGTGCGTGTGTACATGCGGCGTGGTCCTTTCAGAAGTTGAGAGATTTTGCAAGCACGCACAGTTTATTTAGTAGATATGCATATATGTATGTCTGTATGTATGTATGCATGTGTGCGTATGTGTTTGTGGGCATGCATATGTGCTTCACTTTCACTTTCACTTTCCTCGTAGCAGAAGAGTGCTTTCTGCGAACGTCGATGAGGGACAAGCGTATCGCTCGGCCTTCGCTGTGCATTTGCACATCCCCCCAGCAAACACTAGCCTAACTCCCGGCACGTATGCCCATATGCAGAGTTAGCAGCCTTCTTTATAAAAGAACATGTAAGCATCAAAGAAGCAATTCTCAGGATTGGTACAAGTACGAAACACAACATCGTCATCCGCAGTACAGAAAGAGCTATCACAATGATTGTACATCAAATTGAAATAATGGCCGCTGTCTGGGGAGTCTCCATGGTGTATGATCATGGAGCAAAGCTGGTACTTCTTCCACTGGATGGTGCCATCATGTGCAAATCCCGGAATCTCAATCTCAGGACAAGGCCGAATGTAGTATCTGCGCTTATTTGCACGATTGCCACCAATCCCGAAAGCAAAACGTCCAGCTTGGAACACTAAGGCCGGGGGCCAAAACACTAATGCATGTACATCCGTCTGTGCATGCCACGCCAAAATCATGCCCTGAACAGTCTGTTCACCCGATGGCTGGTCGCCCGCCAACTCAGATGGTTGAAGCAGCAGTGGGGCCGACTGGCCTTCATCCTGTACTCGCCAGTGGGGGCCTCTCGTGCGT